GGGCGAGCTCCTCGATGCCAGGAAGTGGAGTCGACATTTCGGCAAGACGGGGCTCGGGCAACGACCGCGTTGACTCTGGGCCGATAGCTATGGGTCGCCTGGGGGGGGGCGGGAGGTGCCCGATCCAAGCCGAAGCGCAATGCTGCTGGAGAGGCTTCGCCCTCCAGTGCCCCCACGGGGCGCGGTCTGAAGGTGGGGAAGGCGACCGAGTTGGGGATCGGGGAGACGATGGAGGGAGGGTTGACGATGGCAAGCCTTTGTTTTCTTTGCTGCATGGAGCGAAGCCTCCCCGAACTCTAGATGGCTGCCTCGGCGCCACCGACTTGTTGCAAAATACAGCACGTGCAGATTTAGACTAAATCCAATGCTGAGCCCCTAGACCGCATCGTCGGTCGTCGTCGAACTCTCTCGGTCGTCGTCGCCGTCGCCGTCGTCGCCGTCGCCGCCGCCGTCGCCTTCGCAGCCTTTGTCGCCACGTCGTCGTCGTCGTCGTCGTCGTCGTCGTAGTCGTCGTCGTCGTCGTCGTCGTCGTCGGCGGCGGCGCCGTCGTCACTGCCGCCGTCGGCAAGGGCGCGCGAGCGGCGGCCTAGCCCTTCATCACGTGTTTCACCAGGTTGGCCCAGCTTGTCTTGGGGTCGTGGGCGAAACTGAAATGCTGGTCAACCCTCTCCCCCTGCTTCAGGGTGCGCCAGACCTGCCTGCCCATGGACACGTAGATCTTCCACTGCTTGTACAGCACAGGTGGCTGCGCCTTCTTTGGCACCCCAGGGTACTTGAGAGTGGGCATCTTCACGGGCTCCAGCTTCGCGGCTTTCATGGCCTTCATGACTGGCTTGGCGATCTTGTTGGGCGTCGCGTTGCTGCTGGCCGCCTTGGCGCCACCCTTGGGGCGTGGCGACGCGGCCGCCGCTGGGCGCCTCATCGCCGCCGCCTTGCCCTTGCCCACGGAGCCGATCACCGTCGCAAAGGCTTTCTCCATGTCCTCAACGCTTCCTGCGGGCTCGTCGTTGTCGTCGTCGTCGTCGTCGTCGTCGTCGTCGTCGTCGTCGTCGCCGTCGTCGCCGTCGTCGTCGTCGTCGTTGTCGACGACGCCGCTGCCGACCTTCTGGCTGGGGCGAGTCTTATCCGTAAAACTAGACCTATCTCCCCTCCCATCTCTCCCTCTCTCTCTCTCTCTCTCTCTCTCTCTCGCTCTCTCTCTCTCTCTCTCTCGCTCTCTCTCTCTCTCTCTCTCTATCTCTCTCCCTCGCTCTCACAGTTCTCATCATACCCTCCCTCCGCCCCTCCCTATACACCCCTTTAACATATCGCGGCTCCTCCTGTAGGCATGCCATCAGGCTCGGCACCACCAGCGGCATCCCCAGCTGGCTCGCCATCGCCGAGGCTGCCGTCGACGGGGGCGAGTGCACCGCCATCGCCCACTGGCGCTGCTGCGCCTGCTGCGCCTGCTGCGCCCGCTGCGCCCGCTGTCATCGGAGGCGGCAGTGCGAGCATGTCAGGGCGCGGCGCGGCCCTGGGCGGGTAGCCCGCCAACTGCGCGTCGTGCAAGGCCAACTGCTGGTTGATCTGGTGCTGCTGGCGATGGAGGTCGGCCTGCATGTCCTCGAGCTGCTGGCGGCCACCCGCGCGCCCGCTCGCTGACGGCTGGTGATGCCCGAAGATGGTGAGGCCAGGCACGTACGGATCGCCAGGCTGCGGGGCGAACGCATCCCCGCGCCCGACTCCATGGCGCAGCGCTGCACCAATCCTCGCGCCGATGCCGCGAGAGCGCGTCGGCGCGAAGCCCCTCGCCGAGCCGTGCGAAACCCTGCAGGGCAACGCCCTCCTGAGCATCTCCACGCGCAACGCCGTAATTGGGCTGGCGCACGGCGCAGTGTGGCCACCGTACGCGATCTCCCACACGTCGGGGTAGTTCTGGCGCAAGCCATCCACCGTGTCGGGGAACTGGATGATGGTGCCGTGGTGGGGCGCGCGAACACGGTTGCGCACTAGCTGCAAGTGGTTCATGATCTCACTCTTCCTGCGTAGCGTCTCGCCCGCGTCGGTCATGGGCTCCATGCTCGGCGGCGTCCTCGCGACCAGCCAGACGCGCCACATGTGCGCGCAGGTCGTCTCGCTGGCGTGGACAAGGCCGAGTTTCTCACAGCGGCGAACGAATGCCTGCAACGCGTCGTTCCACTGGGTGGCTGGCTGCTGCAACAAGTTCCAGATGTCCTCGGTGGGGAAGTTCTCGAACTGCAAGCAGCGCTGGTTCTGCTGGCGGCTGGCTGCACCTGGCCCTGCAGCGGGCACAGCGGTCACCTTGGCAGTGACGATGCGCCCGAGATACGCGCGGTCCTCGTGGCCGAACAAGCTCCCATTGATCGCGGTCAATACCGCCGTGGCATCCGCCGCCGAGACCCGATCGACGGAGTTGACGGCGTCCTCCATCATGCTGCGAGCCTGGCGTAGGTCCACCTCCCCAGTCGACGCCTGGCTCGCCCTCATGAACTCGATCACCGTCTGCGCGCGGTGGACAACGTCCGACTGCTGATCCATCTCTCTGGATACAAATCTAGATGAGTGTGATGGCGAAGCCACGCGCGAGCCGATCGGGCCAAAACGGCTACGGGGCATGGTGGTGGAGGGGAGGAGGGGAGGAGGATGGGGGGGAGGGGGGGGGGGGGGGGGGAGGAGGAGGAGGGGGGGGGGGGGGGGGAGGGGAGGAGGGAGGAGGAGGAGGGGAAGGGGCGAGTAGGGGGGGAGGGGTGAGGGGAGGAGGGGATGAGGGGAGGGGAGGATAGGGGAGGAGGGGAGGAAGGGGAGGAGGAGGTGGAGGAGGATGATGAGGAGGATGAGGGCATGGAGGTGGAAACGGGGGGAGGAGGATGGAGAGGATGCGGAGGATGATGATGGTGATGATGGTGATGATGATGATGATGATGAGGAGGAGGAGGAACAGGAGGAGGAGGAGGAGGAGGAGGAGAAGGAGGAGGAGGGAGGAGAGGGAGGAGGGTGATAACTAGACTGGTGGTGGAGGGATGAAGCATACGGTGCAGGGTGTTCTGCGGGACCCAGTGAGCGACGCGGCCAACATGCAAGAGCCCCCTGCCCTCCCCCGCTTGGTGGGCAGCCGCGCGGGGCCTCCAGAAGCCATGATGGGCCTACCGTTTCCCCGGGGATTCTGGTGATTGTTGTGCGGTTTCGGTGTGTTGGTGTTGTATGCGTTTCCCCGGGGAAATTTGTGTTTTGTAACCTATGTTTGGGTTTCGGGTTTGCTGTGTTTCCCCGGGGAATTTGGTGATTTTCGCTCCCTGGGACCTTCGTTTTCCCTCCTCATCGTCCCTTTCCATGCCCTAATCATCTCCCCCCCCCTCCTCCTACCCCTTCCCCACCCCCACCATCCACCTTCACCTCCTCCTCCCTTCCACCCCATATAATCCTCCCCAGTCCACTCCCCTTCCCCCCTCCCCCCCAGGCCCCCTCCCCCGACCCCCTCCCCCGCGCGCCCACGCGGCTGCGCGCGACCCCCAGGATTGCCTCGAAGTCGCCGCAGCGCGGACCCGAAGGTGCTCCTGCGGGGGCGGCTGGGGAGGGAGGGGCAAGAGGAGGAGGAGGAGGAGGAGGAGGAGGAGGGGGGGGAGGAGGATGCGGAGAGGGGGCGCGGCGAGAGGAGGAGGAGGAGGAGGAGGAGGGGGAGGGGGAGGAGGAGGAAGAGGAGGAGGAGGAAGAGGAGGACGAGGAGGAGGAGGAGGAGGAGGAGGAGGAGGAGGAGGAGGGGGAGGGGGGATTATGAGGAGGAGGGGGCGGAGGAGGGGGAGGGGGAGGGGCGGGCAGAGGAGGAGAGGGGCGAGGAGGGGTGAGGAGGAAGAGGTGGAGGAGGAGGAGGAGGCCTCATCCTCTCCCTCCGCATCTTCCGTATCAGTGCCAGCAGTTCCCTAAGCCCCAACACAAAACATGACCCCCATCAGGGGCTGGGCGGGGCGAGATGCGGAGGAGAATGGAAAGTGTGCGGAAAGAGTAGATGAAGCAACCGCCTAAACTTTTACCAACGGTGTGGTCCCCAATGCGGCCGCATCTCGGATACGCTCGGATACAC